ATTTTGCTAATGATAGCTTGAAGTATACTCCTTAATGACAAGCCTAGTTAGCTGTTATTAAGTAGTTGATCCAGATTTTGCTAATGATAGCTTTAAATTTAATAACCATCCTATAAACTTTCAAACCCTGCATAGCAGTGAATTTTTATTTTTCCAACCTGTAAGAATATATATATTTAATAAATATGAACAATAGTTGGATGAAAAAGCAGCTGCATCTTCATTCTTCAAAATAACTTAAAATGATTTGACACCTCTGCATGGAAAACAAATTGCCTAATATTAAGGAAATTGCAACATGCGTAATATTAGGGAGAAAGAAAATCAGAAATATGTGTCAAAATGCATTTTTCCCTTGTCTACAAGGGATTAGAATAAGTAGATCTAAAAGAGAGGAACAGAAAACATATGTTTGATCTGCTAAAAAGAAAATTCAACAGTCAGAGAAAAAAAATCACTGCTTTTTTAAAAACTTTGTTAAAGAAAGCTTTTTAAAAATTGACGAAAATTCTGCCAACTGATTAAAACCCATCAAACGTACTGTTGTTTAAATTTCAAGTGACCCTGAACTTAACCCTATTAAGGCTGGGGGGTCTAAATCTATGTATAGCCTGGGAGGGGGCGGCATCTCACGCCCCTCCAAGAAAAAAGCCTTAGAGAATAGGTATAGGGTTGAAATGCATGTTCATAGTCCAACATAGGCCAGCTCATTGAAAAAAAATTAAACCTATAACTTTAATAGTGGTGGCGTGGGAGGGTTGAAAAAATGCAAAAAAGTGGTCAAAAAATTGTAAAATTTTTTTTGTTTTAAACAAATATCAAGATGTGACATTTATTTTCACATCTATTTTCAAGAACTTTCTAAAACTATAGTTTTTAGATCTGTAGCTTTTGATTTTTTTACACATACTTTTTACCCCCTGAACCCTACCCAAACCCAATGCATAAAAAATACTTTACAAAAATCTTTCAAATTTTTATTCAATAAAAAAACTAAAAATTTCTAGGATTAAACAATTTTCATCATTGACTTTTTACTTTTATAGAGAAACCTCAATTGAATTTTTATAAAAATTATCCAGGATTACAATTAATATTACATCTATAATTTTTAGCTAAAATTTTACAGAAAGAACGAATATTTTGCTTTAAACGAAACATGTTTTATTTTATAGCAGAAGAAATAGCTCCTTTCTATTTTAAACTGAATGAAATATGTTCTTATGTACTTACCCAACCCTAAAGTCTATAGAAGCACTTTCACTTTAACCCTATAAAGGCTGGGGGGTCTGAATCTATGTATAGCCTGGGGGGGGGGGCGCCAAATAAAAAGGCCTGAGAGAATAGGTATAGGGTTGAAATGCATGTCCATAGCCCAATTTGCCAATGCCAGCTAATTGAAAAAAAATTAGACCGATAACTTTAATAGTTTGGGTGCTAGGGAGGGTTGAAAAAAACGCCAAAAAAGGGTCAGAAAAAGAAGAAAAAAAATATTTTTTGTTTTCAACAAATATTAAAGTGTGACACATGTTTCTATTTACATTCTTCAAGGACTTTTCAAAAATATACTTTTTAGATATGTAGCTTTAGTCACAAAAAGTTATGGGTTATTTTAGACTTTTTTTTTCCAAACACCGGACTTTTTTCCACCCTGTATCAAATCTAATGCAATTAAAATTTTTTTTTTACAAAATATCCTTTAAATTACTATTCGTTTAAAGTCACAAAATTTCACGATGATAGTGTAAAAAATGAGAGTGCTAGGATAAAAAACTACAGGGTGGGGGCGCCAAACGCCCATCGCCCAGCCTGTTTAGGGTTAATAATACAGTTTGACATTTACCCCATACAAAGAGTAAAACCATTTGTGTAAAATAATAAAATTCTCAAGTATAACATTATTTTCATTTTACATTAATGACATAGATATTATACAGTGAAGAACATTTGGATATGCTCGCAAATATCTTATTTCAAGAGTTCATTTTGATTTTCTTAACACCATTTTCCGTTTGTTTATTTGTTTTTTTATTTAAACACAGGAACTAAATAAAACACTTTTTAAATCCCAATTGCCAATTCTTGATTCGAGTAGTATCCTCTTTGTTCAATCCTTGATTCGAGTAGTATACCTCTTGTTCCATCCTTTGTTGAGTAGTATCCCTCTTAATCCATCGTAGATTTGATTAGCATCCTCCTTGTTAAATCCTTGATTTTAGTAGTATCCTCCTTTTTCAATCTTTTATTTGAGTAGTATACCTCTTAATCCATCCTTTGATTTAAGTAGTATCCTCCTTAGTCAATCCTTGATTTGAGTAGTATCCTTCTTGCTCAATCCTTGATTTGAGTAGTATCCTTCTTGCTCAATCCTTGATTTGAGTAGTATCCTTCTTGTTAAATCCTTGATTTGAGTAGTATCCTTCTTGTTCAATCCTTGATTTAAGTAGTATCCTCCTTGTTAAATCCTTAATTTGAATTGTATTCTCCTTTTTGTATCTTTGATTTGAGTAGTATCTTCCTTGTTCAATCCTTCATTTGAATAGTATCCTTCTTGTTAAATCCTTGATTTGAGTAGTATCCTCCTTGTTAAATCTTTGATTTGAGTAGTATCCTTCTTGTTCAATCCTTGACTTGAGTAGTATCCTCCTTGTTCAATCCTTGATTTGAGTAGTATCCTCCATGTTCAATCCTTGATTTGAGTAGTATTCTCCTTAGTCAATCCTTTATTTAAGTAGTTTCCTCCTTGTTCAATCCTTGATTTGAGTAGTTTTCCACTTGTTGAGTTCTATATTAAAGTATTATCATCCTTGTTCAAACCTTGATTTGAGTAGTATCCCCCTCGTTGAATTCTTGATTGAAGTATTATCATCCTTGTCCCATCCTTGATTCGAGCAGTGTTACCCTTATTCAATTTTTGATTCGAGTAGTATTCCACTCGTTCAATCTTTGATTCGAGTAGTATCCTCCTTGTTTAATCCTTGATTTAAGTAGTATTCCCCTCGTTCAATCTTTTATTCGAGTAGTATCCCCCTCGCTTCTACCTGCCCATGTGTCATCCGCATTCCGGTCATCTTCAATTTATATCCCTTCCTCAGTCACATACATTCATTCCTGTTATACATACATTAATTCAAACTGCTGTGAAAGCATCCTATATTTGTTGCCAAGTCATAAAAGATAGATTGAGCTAACGGGAGTTTTAACTCAACCACGTTTCTTTTTTAATGCTGAAAAATAGGAAATTTTAGCGATATCGAAAATTTCTAATAAATCTACTCATTTTGATATTGATTTTCAAAGCTATTGATAAATTCACATTTTAAAAAACTACTTTTGGTATGGATCTCAAATTATAAAGCTTAGATCAATCTTTCTCATTTTCAAACTAGAATAACTTATTATTGTAAGTTCATGAATCTTAGATACAAATATGAATCGCAGTCAAATTCTTAATCTTAAACATTTTTTTTGGGACATGTATCAATGTGGTAGATTAGGTGGAACACCCCCCCCCCCTCTCCCCAACAACACAACGAGTTAAAAAGCTTCTTTAAATTTTTTTTTTTCATGTAGATAGATAAAAACATTTTTAAGAGAATGAGAAATGTTCTATTTTCCATGTATAAACTTATCTTCCTTTTGCTTTTCATAAACATTTTAAATCTTTAAATATAATATTGTAAAAAAGTGTAAATCCCTGCAAAAATTGTGCAAAAAGTGATTCTTCGGTTATAAAAGAGTTTCTCGAGATAAACCCAAATAATAAGTTTTGAAGAAACGATTACAAAACTTGGGGAATTAGTTTTAAATTAATCCCAAACAAACTTATCTATCTAACTATCGGTCTATCGGTCTATCTATCTATCTATCTATCTATCTATCTATCTATCTATCTATCTATCTATCTATCTATCTATCTATCTATCTATCTATCTATCTATCTATCCATCTATCTATCTTTCCTTATATCTATCCTTCTATCTCTTTATCTATCTATCTATCTAATTATTCAGAGAAAACTGAAACTGCTCTTTGCAATTTAGTACCCCGTAAGAAATCGTGATCAATTTTTTGTTCCCATGTACGTGCAGAAACTTATTCGTCAACAGATTTCCTTTAAATTTTTTCACAACCTGTTGGAATAAACTTGACCCTGCTTTGTCTTGTATAGAAAAAATTAATTTAACTATAAACTTAGGTTTAATTTTCTGGATAGATTACTGAGCTTTGAATGCATAAATTTGGCTTTTTTGTAATACTTGTTCAACTGTAGTTTCTTTGTTTATGTTGGGGTTTTAAGAGATGAGATTTTAAAATCTTAAACCCGAGAACCCATTACTTTGGGTCTGCTTAGCAGTCTCTAATTGGGTGAATAAGAGCCAATCTTGACTTGGGTTCTATATCTGAGCCCAACTCTAGGTTTTACTCGAGTTTAAGCTTTTAAAATCTCATCTAAGGTTGAGCTGAAAACTTCAGTAAATTATTAATAATCATACTTTTAAAATGTGTAACCATTAATTCAGCCAAAATCTCTTGTCCAAGAGGAAGTGGGGTTCATACAGTACGTACAATGCATAATGCACTGGAAAAATAACTTGTTTTTAAATAGTGCGTGCACAAACAAGTTTGCCTAGCTGTAATCAGTACAATGAACCTATATCAATATATACCATAAGTAATAAAATTTCTCTTTTATTCATTATTCTAAAATTCAAAAATGTGCAAAAATGTGCAAAAATTACAATTGTTCAAACGACAAAAAATAAAATTTAAACTTGCAAAATGTGTGCAAATTTAAAAGTGTAACATTTTTTTGTGCAATCTGCTGCGCCTTGTGTCACAGGCTTTCAAAAGAGCTTCAAAATGTTGTAGTCCCAAGACTTGGCTTTAAAGTTGGAAGTAGGTCTATTAGCTATAGATTAAGTCTGGTATAGGTTAAAAAGGCACTAAAGTAGTGATTCAGGCAGTATATTTTAAAGTCCAGCTTTTTTTCAGAAAAAACTGCGTTAGTGCATTTAAAAACATGATGAAATAAAAAATTTACTATTAAAAAATCCTCCATATTGAATTTGTAAAATGTCCACGTGGCAGCCAGACTGGAATCAATCTTGCACCGGACCCAGTACAGGTTTATTTATAATAATGTTTTTTTTTTACTCAATTTATCATTTAAAAAGTTTTCTTTTAAGGGACTGTTTCCCTAATTTTATGTAATCCTTCGATTTAAGATTCACAATTACAATTCAATATCTGAACAATAGTTATTGTAGTTTTTACTTCTTAAATGTTTCCAAAAACGATCGTTTTTTATAAAACGAAACGATCGTTTTTTGAAAAAAAAATAAAAACGTAACGAATAACTATAATCTTTTGACGTTTTTAAAAACGATGAAATACCCCACTTGTAGCACTTGTAGCTTCTCTTGTTAAACATTCGTTTTCTCCTCAATAGCTTTTTTAAATTATACGTTTAATTTACTTCTGTTTGACGTCATAATAAACTCTTTTGCGTATGGAAACCCATGAACTTTTGCACGTTGTCAAGTTAGCAAGCATAAACATGTCATATTTGAGAGAGTATGTTTTTTTGGGGGTTGTATTTGCAAAAGATATGTTTTTCTTTTGCAATGCACGCAAAAGATTATAATTGCATCTTAGAAAACGTGTTTAGCTTAGTTTCTAAAACGTCAATCTAAAATATCAAATATGTATAGAATTGTGCAACTCAGTTGGTTAATGCACAAAAAGTAATTCAAAATCTAGTTTAATCTGGCAAATGCATTATTCAACCTTTCTAAAAGAGATTTGGTATACGAAAGAAAATTTACATTTGCCTGCAAAAGGGCATACTCATTTGGCCAGGAACCCAAGAGGCAGTCAGACTGATGAAGACCATTTGAAAGATTTGAGTTTTTGCCACAAACGCAAATGTTCTAATCCCTATATCTTTGCAACCTAATGGTTTAAATCTTGGATATTTCACAATTAGACTATTTGATCTAACAGAATTCCATGTCATTATAGGTTGAAATATCTAAGGACTAAAACATCGGGTTGCAAAGATATAGGGAATAAACAAATTAGAGTTTGTGACAAAAACTCATTTTCTTTACGGATTTGTTAAATTTTAAATGTGAAGATTTGTCGCTTCCCGTTTATGGCAAATCAAATAAAATGAAGGGTATTCTAAATTTGTCAAATTATTGCCATTTTTGATGAGGAATTTGTTTGTGGTGATACGTTTTATATCAGGAGGCATTGTGTAGGGACACGTTTTTAAAGTGATCCAAATTATCATTTAAAAATAACTAGGTTCTAGTTTTAAACTTTCGGAAAAGAAAAAGAAACAAAAAACAGTCGTTTTTCCTCTTAAAAACGATTGTTTTCTCTGTGATAAAAAAAAACATAGAACTCTTCGTGCTTTTCACTTATGTGAACAATTGTTTCAGTAGTTAAAAAAACCGGTCGTATTGTTTTATTTTTTTTTATCGGTAACGATCAAATTGTCTTTTTGAAAAAGTAAAACTACCTGAATTGTGTTACCTTTGATATTTGATCGTAGATGATTTTATATATTAAAGTAGAAGTAAATCGCAGGAATAAGAATTTTGAAATCAGGATTAGATCCTTTATGTCACACCTCTGTTTCTTCATATTTATTTTAAATTAAAAAAGCTTGAAGCTTCACGGTTAAAAATAAAAAATTTCTGTCCAAAATTTGTAAAGCACAGCGAACAAAAATGAACAGTGTTTAAACTAGATATAAACATATTTCAACTTACCTTTAACAAATATTAATTATACAATATTAAGCTGAAATTTTGAAGCAATTTTGCATGACGTCAAAGGGTCAAATATGGCACATTTCAAACCTGTTTTACAGTGTAGAGGACATTAGATAAAATCAGACTTTATGCTTCATATACAGGGTGTCCCAAAAAAACGTGGGAATTCAGTGACGAATTGGATATCGTCTTTTTTATGAATTAGCATTGTAATACCTAATTTCAAAAGCCATAATATTATTATGTCTGCTAGAGTTTATTTTATGAAAAGGGTAAAAAACTGTAAACTATAATGTCTCCGCAAGGAGAGGATTAGACGGACAAGATTACACTGTTTATATACTGCAATTTTCTTGTTTTACTAAGTACATCTGAGGCAGAATTTAAAGAATTTGAGCCGTGGCTTATATTTGAGACGCGGCTCTAACAGGGTTGGTTCCACTTAAAATTTTATTCAATGTTATAATATTTAAGCCAGCGCTCAATTGAAACCGGTTTTTGGCGGATTTGAGAAGCGGCTCAAATTCATTAAATTCGGCCTTAGTACTCATTATACACCTATGCACCTAAGCACCTATGCACCTATTCATCTGTTCAGTACTGAATGGAAATGGTTGTGCCAGCAGTTTGATGGAAACTAATGAAGAAATTAAATCCTGTATCTTCCAAATTACCGGCTTTTCAGCTACGCTAGGTATATTTTTAGGTTAATTGAATTATTCAGATAATGATATTTTCACGCACCATTCAAAATTTATGTTTTTAATTCTTTACACCATTAATTTTTTCTTAAAACTCACTTTAAAGCTGAAAAAAATCTCATTTACAAAAAAAATTCTTTGACCAATTTGTATAGAAAAGTTCATCTATTTAAAATCAAAACAATAAACAAGATAAATTCTGAGTTTTTTACTTTTAAATAAAAGAAAATAGAAAAAAAATAATTCCTGCTCTTAGAGGGATGTAATAAAAGGAAATTCATAGTCAAAAAAGTTTATAAAAATTTCTGAACTTAAAAACTTAAAAAATCAAGTCATATCCCATCTTTGCAGCCTGCGTCTGCAACATGAAAGGTTAATTTTAGCATAAAGTTTAAAGTTTATTTTGTAAAATTTGAAATTACCAGTTTAACTACAAGAGAATGATGGATTACCACAATTTAACAAGACTTAGAAATAAAAGTATTAAGCTTTCTAAATTTGCTAGACTCTGGGATTAATGGTCTACACTTTATTAAACATCATTATCATAAAACTGTGCATGATGCTAAAATCTTACATGATCTGTTGATTACGCATAGATCTTACATGATGCAAGGATCTTACATGAAGCAAGGATCTTGCATGATGCAAGGATCTTGCATAATGCAAGGATCTTGCATGATGCAAGGATTTTACGTGATGCAAGGATCTGACATGATGCAAGGATCTTGCATGATGTACTGATCTTGCATGATACAAGGATCTTGCATGATACAAGGATCTTGCATAATACAAGGATTTTGCATAATACAAGGATCTTGCATGATACAAGGATCTTACATGATGGAAGGTTCTAGCATGATGTAAGGGTCTTACATGATGCAAGGATCTTGCATGATGCAATGATCTTACATGATGCAAGGATCTTGCATGATGCAAGGACCTTGCATGATGCAAGGATCTTACGTGATGCAAGGATCTGACATGATGCAAGGATCTTGCATGATGCAAGGATCTTACATGATACAAGGATCTTGCATAATACAAGGATCTTGCATGATGCAAGGATCTTGCATGATGTACGGATCTTGCATGATACAAGGATCTTGCATGATACAAGGATCTGACATGATGCAAGGATCTTGCATGATGTACGGATCTTGCATGATACAAGGATTTGCATGATACAAGGATCTTGCATGATACAAGGAACTTGCATAATACAAGGATCTTGCATGATACAGGGATCTTGCATGATACAAGGATCTTGCATGATGCAAGGTTCTAGTATGATGTAATAATCTTACATGATGCAAGGATCTTGCATGATGCAATGATCTTACATGATGCAAGGATCTTGCATGATGCAAGGATCTTGCATGATGCAAGGATCTTGCATGATGCAAGGATCTTACGTGATGCAAGGATCTGACATGATGCAAGGATCTTGCATGATGCAAGGATCTTGCAGAATACAAGGATCTTGCATGATGCAAGGATCTTACATGATGCAAGGATCTTACATGATACAAGGATCTTACATAAT